GTACAGGAATAAACACTCACTAAAATAGACCTGTGTGTACGGGCGCTGATCTGAGGAACACAGGAGACGATGCTCTTAATTTGTCCCTCTCCTTGAACTTTACAGACACCTCCTTCACGTACTATCTGTCATAATTATACCCCTCTCATCTCCACCTCTTTTTTTTATACTTGGCTTTAATTTACTGACGTCTGTGAGTCTTTTGCTGCAGTCCTTTACGCCTCTCTACGTGAGGCTGAATTTTGCTGTAGCTAACTGCAAAGGAGCATGAGCTGTAATTGTTTATAAGTTGAGCTCATGTTACCCGAACTTAAAGAAATAATAAGAGATCTGGAAGTAGAGCTGCATAAATCGGTAAAATCAGATCACATTCTCTACTTTATGTTGTATTAAAAGAAAAAGAAATGATGGGAAAATGCCTTTAGTTGTCAAATCAGATAAAATTAGATTGAAAAATCAATTATTCTAATAATTTATTAAAATTGACATTTCTCAATGTAAAGAAATAATATCAAAGTAAATACATTTAATTTATAATCAATAAATATTTTATAAAAACCATAAAGAACTAGAGCAGCATAATAAAATATTAAATTAATAAAAGTTAGAGACTCAAAATAAAAATAGTCCTACATTTTTAATCAAATTTAAAAATGGATTAAATAAAAGGATACAATGAATAACAAAACATATTAAGCAAAAACTAAACCCCCAAAATAACATTTAAAAATATGTAAATGAAAGTAAAATTCTATATAATTTATCCAGAAATTTAGAATAAATACATAGTAAAATAGTATAAAAATATTATTGGAATTGAAAAAAGAACAAAGTAAATGTTCTTAAAACTCAAATAAATTAGAACAATAGATAATTGTCCTTCATGTTTTTAGTTGTTTTTGCTTTTATTCTAGATAGTTAAAAGTAATAGCCATTTCATGCAAAACACAAAAAAACTGTTTTCCCTCTCAGATAAATGTGACAAACTTTTCCAGCTAATTAAAGGAAAGAGACTCATAACTTTCTGGTTTTGAAGCTGCCACTTAAACATGTTGAGAAGTCGTTTGTTTTTTTTGACTACACCCATCTTCAAACTCTGACTTTGCTTTCATTTCTGGCGTTTGTCTTTGATTAAATCACTGGATCCCGTAAAGTTATCTTTTTGTGAGAACTGGCTTGCGTGTGGAGACAAGCACACTCACCTGCTGGTTGAAGTTCAAATGTGGCAGGGCGACATTTTACAGTGACACACATGATGAGTTTCACAATAAAAACATGGCAACACTTAGCCACTCGTTTCAATTCAGCACTTCTAATGGGGAAAAAACAAAAACACTGAAGCATGATAATCACAAAAGAGTTATAGGAATGTAATCTGGGTCACAGAGAGTGACGGAAGTCTGCATGAGAAAAACAAACATGAGGACAATCGAGGCTTATCGCAACAGACTGCTGTATTTACCTACAATCATATATCTTCAATGCTGCAACTCCTCAATAAAAGCCAGATTTATGACATTTCTCCTGGCTGAGCTGTGAATCCCCACAGCTTCTCCTGAGTTACCATGGGTGTGTCGACTGATTCTCTGATGAAGGCTGATGGACTGAGCAGTGCTCTTGCGAGATATTCAAAGCTCTGAAAATTATTTGGAAGCCTCCACATGCCCCTTAAGCTTGCGCCAGCTTGGTAAACATGACAATAAAAGGCTCATAAGTGGAGTAGCTGTTGCATCTCCACCCTGCTTGGATCTTCTTATGATTCCCAGCTTAACCGCTTAATGCTTGTTGTCATATTTGGAGGTTGGGTAAGATCTCAGCATTGAATCTGTGGGTGCTTGTTTGTAATTCTCTATTTTAGGAATGAAGATGACCTATTATACTTCCTTTAAGCGTTTGGGATAGGTCTGTGGACTACGAATAACACGTTCATTATGTTTTTTGCACAATCGTTCTTTGATAATGAGATGTTAGTCTGCTCAGTTCTGCCTATTTTGAGCTCCTTTCAGAATGAGATGTTTCAGGACCTCTTGCCACTTCAAATCTAAATAAGTTGCTGTTAGACCCCCAGCTCAACATTTACACTCATAGATGCAAAACTATACAACCACACATTTTTGGAAAGCAGAAGTGGAGCCTCCCACACAACCAACAAGAATGCAACAAAGTGGTTTCTGGATCGTAAGGCAACAACAAAACACTTGTCTTTTCCAGCAGCCATTGTTTTACATGGATTAGTAAAACTAGCTGACCAAAAGGGCTGGAGCTCAGCTTGGGTTGCTAGGTGACAGACGGAACAACACTGGGGTTGCTAGGTGATGGGGAGAGCCTGCTGATTTGTGACGTTGTATTTGGAAAGTTTTAGAAACGCCTCATATTCCAGATGCCAAAAATCATCAACTTATCTCCAAAAACCAGCTTGGTGGGTTTTCTAAGCACTCAGTCTGAACCAGCAGAAACCCGAATGGAAGTACAAAAAAATTAGCAAAATGTGAATTTTGGATAATGGATCCCCTTTAACAATTAACAAAGTGTGTTTTTGCCGTGTATGGATATGAGTGTTTGAAGTGTGCAGGCTTGTTATGTAATCAACTGGGGTGTGTGGGGTCAGGTGAGGAGGAGCGTCTGTTTATGCGCGCTAAAACATTCATGACCATCTTCAGCGAGTCATAAATGTTAATGGCGACATGTGAGAACGCTGAATAATGGAGAGTAGAGGAACGAGGGGAAAAACCTCCATCTTCATCCATCTGTCGATCTCATCTCTCGGTTTGCTGGTCTTCCTTTTCCCTCTGACCTCTGCATCGTTACTTATTCCTCCCACTCTCCACATTCAAAGCCTCCTTTCCCTCCCTTTCTTTCATTTAGTTCTTTGTTTTGCTCAGAGGCCTGATGAAACTCATAAAGCTGTTGATGTGTGTGTGATGAAACATGTTTTCTCTGTGGGATTCATCCCAAAGAGACAAAAACACTCAGTGGGATTCAACGCTGTTAGAAACCTCCTCGCAGACTGTTTATCTGCCTTTCTCTGTGAAGCATATTAATAGCTGAAGGCCTTCCTTCCTTCCCTCACTTATACACTTTTTTATCTTTTTTTTTTACTGTGCTCATATCTGTCGTTTTATTTTAGCTCCACACACAAGCCCTCTGTCCCAAACAGTTGCTCAGTCTGACGACGCTTCAGGTCGTCTACCACGTTGCATTCCTTCATCCTTTCTGTCCAGTTTCAAAGACTGTCCGAGTGTCTGCGAGGATGAATCATGTGCTTAGACTAATTAAAAAAATGGACTCTTTTCAAAGGAGAGAAGACATGAGTGTGTGTGTCTCTTGTGGTATCTGTCTGCAGGCTGTCTCAAACAGCTCAAACTTACAATTGAGGTTTGCTGCGTCTAAATACTGGTGTACACATTAGTTTTATTCATTTTGTTTTGAATATTGTTTTTCAGCCCCTAGCTCAGAACCAAAAAGGTACTTTGTGTACTCGCAACCTTAAATTTGCTAAAGAAAAATGTCTCCGTTAAAAATATCCACAACACTTTAATTAGGTGTTTGTTAGTTTTTTCCCTTTTCTGCAGCCTTTTTTTTGGTAATGCAAAACTTATTCACAGGTTTACATACACTGTTTTCTTTGCATTTAAACAATTTGCTCAAATGACGATGTATCTCTGTATAAAGTGCCTCCAACATTTTATACACATGATTTATACTCCATGATATCATGTGACATCATGGAGAAAAAAGAAATCAGGATGAGAACTCGGCTTTATTACTTTGCATGATTTGATCTGCAGATGGATGCAAGTGAAAACAGCATGAAAACATTAATGTTTTGGTGAATCGCATTGCCACTTTGTGTGGTATTGCATCTCATATGTGACCCAAGTTGTATTGTTCCACGTTACAATGCATCTATTTTGTGTCACGGTGCATCCTGTCCTATCATTTTCCAGTGAATGGCTGGTTTTCGTAGCCGTTTGGTATCACAACTGAAAGCCAAAATCTGAAATCTGCGTATACTTGAAGCTCCCTCTAAATACCCTTAGAACTGCCTGTTTTAATAGTTCAAACACCAAATATACCTTAATATTCACTAATTATAGTGGAAAACGTCTTAGCACTACCACAGAAGCTAAATTTCACGATCTTCCTCATCTCTGGAGGGAACAGCCAATCAGCAGAAGGGGAAAATAAATGCCGCTCCTGGATTGGCTGATTATCAAATGCCAACCAATAGCATGTCAAGTAGAACTGTATCCAGGTGTTTCAATTCCCCAAGCTGCGATTTCTTCCAAATATTTTAGAAGTGCTCTCTGAAAAAATAAGCACATTTTCCGCAGATAATTTGGAGTCTCGTTCCACAGGAAAATGCGTGAACGCTGATCTGCGAATACGCCAGTATTCCACTATATTTACCTAAGGCTGAACGATATGGCTGAAAAACGCATCACGAATATAAACATTTCACTTCAGCTGATATCAATAATTATTATTGATTAGTTTTTTGTTTTAAATATCTGAAATACTGCCATACTGGTGGTTTGAGCTTTCCTATTTTCTCTAGTTTTCACTCCTCTCCATTTTTTATTTATTTATTTATTTATTATTATTATTTCTAAGTAGTTGTGAGTCATACTGTCACAACCTGAAACTACTTCTGCGCCAGTTACTCAGCGAGTTGTTGCTAGGAAACCAAAGAGTGAGTGAGCTAGTTGTTGCTAGGTAACCAAAGAGTGAGTGAGTGAGTGAGTTGATTCCACCAACTTTGCTTAACTTGTTGTGAGAGGTTAGCTAAAGTCTTTCCTCTGCCTACATCCCCCAGAATGCTGTGCAGTTCTGGACTGGAGTTTGGTGAATATTCTATATATTGAATATTCTGTCAGATGTATTAACTATTGTGTTCTCGCTTCTTTTATTTTTATTTCCGTGCTGTTATTGTCATGCCTAAAGCAATAATTATTTTTTTTTTGGAGTCCTGATGTTCTGATTTGTGCTTCTTTCTCCAGATTAATCAGCCAATCGATGGGGATTTTCGCAGGAGCTCCGCCCGCCATCGCCACCCGCCCTTCTCCCCCCTCCCACTGCAGCCTGTCGCCCGTCCCCACCCACACCATCATCCAGCCCCCCAGACACAAAATGACTCTGGAGCTCACCGAATGGTCTTCTATATGGATTTTTACTGCTTGTAATAGACAGTAAAGCAAAACAAAGCCGCAAACCTCAATGACAAAAAAGCCATAAACACCCTATGCACCCACACACACACATCCACACACTCACGCACACTCGCACACAACACATGCAAACACTGGCATACCAACAAACCAAATAAATGTTCAAGCAGCATCTCACACACGTCCCAAGCCAACACAAAGAAGGAAACGCACAAAGCCGCTCTTGGAATGTGCCACTCACTCTTCCAGTGAAATACAACTGCTCACTTATTTTTGGGGGATTTTGTACAAGCCTCAGAAAGCCGATTTGCATTTTTTAACTGGGAGGAAAACAAGAAGGATTTAATTTGAAGTTGCAGATTTTTTTTTTGTTTCTTTTTTTTTTTTGGGAGGACAACTTGTTTGGGGCACAAGTGGTTGCAGATTTCTTTTTGGCTTTCTCCTCTTTTAGATCGAAGAAAATTATTGGTAGATTGAGAATTTGTAGCTTATTCTCCAGTTATTTAAAAATTGTAGGCATTTTCTTTTAACTAGAACATTTTGTTGTTGAATACTTACAGGTCAGTCTGTTACATCCACTGGTTGCAGTTTGTAGCTTGAGAAAATTTGAGCTTTAAGAAACTTGCTGTCAGTTTAAAATAAGCTGCAACAAACTTGATACAACAAGTTTGTGTTTACCTTTAGGAGGAGTTGCAAAATATTCAGTGCTTTTTTTTTTTTTTTTGCGTTAGAAGGGGAGTTTTCTTGTTGCGTGCATGCCCTCCACCATGCCTCCGCAGAACACAGAGGCTGACACCATGCAGGTCGGATCTCTGGTTGGCGGAATCGGCGCCAAGAAATCCAGCGCATCGGGCCCGGAGGAGGAAAAAGCAGGAGCAGGCGGCGAGGCGGATGGATTGGGGGGCGAAGGAGGAGGCAAAGGAGGGGAGGAGTCGGCAAGCGAGGGGTCCATCGAAGGTATACCCTTGAAGAGATGGGTGATGCACGGCGCAGTGATGTTTGGTCGAGAGTTCTGCTACGCCATGGAGACGGCACTGGTGACACCTGTGCTGCTGCAGATAGGTAAGTTGTTTCTAGACTTTTTCAGTCTAAAATATTCTCTTTCAGCTCTTATTTCTACAGGGTGGGCCATAGGTTTCCATACATAGAAAAAATAAACAATTTATATTGGACATTTTATTTTTGTGGGACTCTGTGTGTAATCGTTGCACGTCTTGGACCGCTGAGTGGTTGATCTGAAAGGTTTCCAGTTTTCGTCTGTGATGCTCGTTCACACATGACTTTAACGTTAACTTCTGTTAAAGTTTCGTGCAACCATGCGGCAAACGCATCTTCTTGGATATCTGAAATATAAATATACATTTTACATTCTCCTATGCATGGAAACTTATGGCCCACCCTGTATATTGAAGCACCTGTTGGTTTTAGAGCCCCCAACATTCTGCAAACATCCATTGGATTTTATTTTTTAAAATGTTTGGCATCACAATTGCATACTCCTATGCCTATAAAACTACCTTTTAACTCCTTTTTTCCCCCATAAGAGGCAAAAATAATCTGTTGATTGTGGCTCCTGCTACAGACTTGAGATAAAACTGTAACTTTTCTGTAAGTTAAAGCCAGGAGGAGGGTCTTAGTGTTGTTAATCATGCTTGTGTACATGCCGGTCATTGTACCAATGGCGGGGAAACAATTTACCGCCATCATCAGTGGCTATGCTAACTAGCCTGAGCATTGACAACAGGCTCTGGGAAACGGAGGATGTGAGCAGTGCGTACATGAGCTTTACTGACACCGCTAAGACCCTCCTCCTTGCTCTGATTGGTTGTTTCTGTCCAGGAACAGTATATGTCTGTCGCATGATCTGCTGTCACAAAATAGTGACAGTCTTATCAAATATGTAAAAAAAAAACAACAACAAAAAAAACAACAACTGCAGCATGAAACATTATAAAATTCATGCGGTCCAGTTTGGTAGAAAAATTTACTAGGAGTTACTACTGTATCCTCCTTTTGTGTCCATGCTATCATATCTTAGCCTTTTCTTCCTCACAAATTGTTGGTTTTGGAGCCACCTACATATTTAAAACAGAATAGTCGTCATAGATTTCATCTGCAAGATCCAGTGTGTTTTACTTTACTACTGTGTGAGTCAGTGTTGCGTCGCCAGGCGACATCTTGAAAGATTTCAGTCGAGTTTGTAACCTGACTGAGTTTTAGTTTTATTTGGGAAAACATCCAAATCTTCCAGAAGCTAAAACAGGGATTACAAGTTGCCATCATACAATCACAGAAACTTCTGACTCAGAAGAAAAACTATTTCGCATATTTTTCACTCGTCTATCCGCATGAATGACAGTTTTCTTTGTATACTTCCACAATTTTTTGGTTCTAATAGGAAAACATGATCCATATATGCTGAAACATAGCTGCTTTATTTCTTGATGACTATTTAAAGTAAGTCAAGGCGTCTAAAGTGACCATTATCCCACCACTTTGCTTGGACCTAGTTCCTCCTGCGGATTATTTGCCATGTTCTCTGACTCACTGTTTACATAAATAAAGGTGTGTATTCAGGAACAAAGCCTACTTTACATTAGTAAATATTTTATTTGGGACTCTCTAAAACCAATGCAGAAAGAATCAAAGCCTTCACTGGAGCCACGTCTGACATGAAAATTGATGAAATTACTGGTAATATGAGTGGAAAAGTGGTGACGAATCAGTTAGAAACTGTCATAATCTGATTTGTAGTTGATGGCGTGTCCCTCTTGCTGCTTCCTTTCAGTGCCTGCCCTCTCTAAATGCCTTCTCCTCCCTCAGTGACCCCATCTGATCTCATACCTTACATAACTAAGAAGCCATTTATAGGGAAGCCGGTCTGGCCCCCCAAAGTGGGCCGATGGAGACAACGAGGCTTAAACACGCCTGGATGTTGTTCAGGGTGAAGGAAAGTTATTGAAAGCTAGAATTATGTGTAATTATTTCCTCTAGAATAATTACCTGGCATGTGTAAATGAATTTATGTTGTGTTTGTGGCATTAAGCTGAAACAATTTGTGTAATTCATATCAGTGTAACGCCGTTTCAGGCCAGCATGCTGTGGATTCAGACAGCTGCATGCTTTTGTTCTAATTTTAACCCTGATTTAGCTGCCTTAGCCTATTTTTTCAGACCAGGACACATCTGAACCCTTCTTAGTAAAATTTGAAATAGCTGTGAGGTACAAATTGTACCGATTAATCCCCTGAAATAAACAAATCTGAATCAGACAGAGTTTTGACTCTGTCTCAGATCTATCACTAAAGAAAGAAAACTAGTTGAGCTGTTTTTTTCATGCCAGGGTATCCAGTTGACATTTTATTTTGAAGAGCATTTCACCGCGTTTTAGATGAATGTAATTGCAATTATGAATTCTTAATCCTCCAATTCAGGACTATTGAGTTTAAAGAATCCAGAGGATTTGTGTTAATTACTAGACTGTTGCAGCTTGTTTCCGCTTATGTCAGACTGTAGGAAAGTTCTTGCCTTCTTATGTGGAAGGTTTCAGGATATTTCAGTGTTTTTTAAGTCAGTTTTTCATAATAGATGGCAGTGAAAACATGTCGGTTTGGAAAATAAGGTAGTAATTGTCATTATAATCGCAATATTAGTGTGTGCAATAATGCTTGGAGTGCAGTGATGCTTGTCAGATATACTTCAAGTGTCATGAACTTCCGTTTCACATGCTACTGTGATATTTAGCCGGTTGGAGAGAGTCTCACAGCAGCAGATGGTCACATAGCGACGGGCACTTATTGTATTATTTATTGTTATCATGAACATTTTCTTACTATGATAAATATTTTGATTCATCAAGATAATAATAAATGTCATTCAATGATACTTAAAAAAAAAAAAAACTGGCAGCGTTTTCAGAAATTTTATTTTTTCTTACTGTTTAGTCCACTTTTGGTTGCATGAAAGCAACAATAAAAATCAATAAATTTGAATATATTATTATTGATAGTTTCTTAAAAAAGAAATCAAAGAGTTTGTAAATAGTTTGGCATTGTCACTGTTTTGGTTGTCACAATAAATGCCACATGAAATTTTAAATGCTATTGCCCGCCATTAGATCACTTTCTCTGATGAAAGAGCGAGGAAAGAAGAAATTCTAAATATATCGCCACTGATATTGTCATCATTGCGATATTTGCAAATATTATCACAATCTCTAAACTTCCTGATACCACGCAGCCCTAAAAGTCATGGAGGACTCAGCTGACTGCTCTGTTAGCTGCTTCCTGCAGAGACGGTGATGACTGCTCATCAAACTAAATTAAAAGAAAGTGCAGCTAAGACTAGTGATATTTTGAGGAAAACGTATAAAAATTGACTCTTGTGCATTGTTATCCACTGCTAACATCTTCATTTTACTCCTTATTGGTGTCACGGATGCATTATTAAAGATTGATGTAACTTGTCACCTCAAGCTTATTTCTGTTGACCAACCACAATGGAAGGGGAAAAAATGCCGCTACAGACTAAAATATCCCCTCCAAACACAGTGTTGTAAAGTGTTGACAGGACCATTGTGGCAGAGTTGAAAAACTGCTGACAGGACAAACAAGGTGTCAGCAATGCAGAAGCACTTGGAGGGAAAAATATTGTTCAGCGTTGGGGTTTGTTAGGAAGTGTTTTCATGTTTTCTCTCTTTAACTATTTATTTTCTTTGCATTTAACTTCTAGATCTACACAAACATTTATAAGCCGCTTATATTTTATGTTTTTACCGTACTCTGACCAATCACTAAAAACAATCCACACTGAGGCACAAACTCTACATTTTAGGACAATAAAAGTACCGTACTATGAGTAAATGCTCTCTGTAGTTGCTGGAATTAGCTGGATAGACGCTGAGCTGGTTGGTTGGTTCACCCAGAGTTAAACTTTTGTGTCGGTGTGTGTAACCCCTCAACACAAAGGTCAGGGGAACGGAGTGTGTGCAGGAGCCTCGGCTTCATGAAGGAGCCCTTATTTACACGGGGGACAGAAACGAGTAGGAGCTTCTACCCTACAAGGTCCTGTGTGGGAAGCTCTCTGCTGTTCACATTCATGCACACAGACGTTTTCCTCAAAGCTAGGAGAAAAAGCGAATGCTGAAATCATCAGCTCCTTTCAGAAGGAGCCGTTTGTCGAGCTGTTGGTGTTAAGTGATTCAGTACAAGCTTTGCATGAACCTTTTTCTAATTCCAAACGTATCCCATCATGCCTTGATGTCTGCATTGTATTGTTTTGTATTTAATATTTGACACTTACTGTAGCTAAGAAATGCTTTTTTTTTTTGTACTTTTTTTCCTATAATTTACATCTTTTCCTCTCAGAAAACGACATACTAAAATAGTGGAAGATAAAAAAGGGTTCAATTAGATTATATTCCAATAACTTAACACTTGGATATGACCAAAAAATAGCTGAATTTCTGCAGTTTTGTCCGAAATTTAAATGTTTTAACTGTTAAAGTTTTTTTTTTATTTTACTTGCAGTGACTTGTGATTTATTTGCGTTAGGCCTCAGATTTAAACTACCGTCTGTAGGAACTCTACCCAGTGAGATGAGAGGGAGACGGTGGTGCAAATGGGGAGGAGGTGATGGAAAGGGACAGTGTGCTGCGTTGCTCCCTTAAGGATGGGCCATTACATAAGAGTCCTGAGCACAGAGCCCAAAAGCAGATCCAGAAAGAATCTGATGAAGGGAAACTGAAGACAAATTATGGGGAAAAACTGACAAAACTATGATCTGTGACAGAATTTTAATTATGTTAAAATTACTTTTAAAGAAGTTGAGGGACTGTGTCAACATCTGCTTCAGAGATGAGACTGAATCTAAAGAAACGTTGCAGAAAGTAGGATTGAACGTTGACTGACTTATGATTTTAGCTTTCTTTTTCTAAACGGTAATATGGAAAGTAGAAAAACCTCCATATAAAGTTGAAAACTAGAAAGAAATGTAACATTTTATATGATGGTGTGTGCATAGGAACGTCATGAGACTGTCATAAACATGAAGGAGTTTTCATGA